CCAAACTTTTTCTGCATGGTGCAACTAATTCCGTATCATTTGAAACTCAAATAAATTCGAGTTAGTTGGGGTTGAACAAATATATTTCTGACTTAATTTCATATTTTGAAACCTGTATAAATAAGAAGATTCAGTCTGAACTGGTTGCTTCGTGGACTGTAGTAAACGTACAGTTAGATACAATATCAATGGCGAAAGAGATGTGCTAGGTGTGGCCGGTTAGAGAAAGTGTGCATTCGTGGCTGTAAACCGTAGCTATACCTACTTGCAATACGAATAAATGCAAATTCTACTACCTGAAAGCTGCAACTGGACATTCTCCAAAATACTCTCTCATGAACAGTTAAGAGGACAGTTTAGAAAGAAACTTTTTTATGATGTCAGGTGAAGTTACGGTTCATTTATTTTTATTGTTGTCCATTTTTCTTTATATTAATATCTTCCAAACTCTTTTGTCACATCCAAATAATTACTTATAATCTCCTTTATATAAATAAGACAGATTAACACTAGAAGGGATGATTAATAGCTTAAATGAGTTCATTTGAATATATAAAATTCTCAAAAGCTACTTCCAAGAGTATTATTTGTAAGTTTAGTTTTCTTTTTTTTCATAAATCCATTGAGGATAATATAACTATCAACAATTGTTCTTGCATCTATATGCAATATAACATAAATTTCTTTTTAAATGCGAATCTGAGAGCAAAACTTCCAATCTTTGAAGAATATTTTTCGCAAATGAACAATTAAAAATATAATAAAACGTAATATCCATTAATGAAAAATAACTGTAATTGTTGATATATAATAATTGAATATCCGTACAATTATGAAATTTTTATTCGATTATTTACTCGCAAATTTATTTATGCGTAAAAAAAGTAATAATTAGGACTTCTTTTTTTTTATTTTCTGCAACATGTATCGATTTGTAAACTGTACAAGAATATTATTGGCACAGGAAGGACCGCGAGGGAAACGATAAACCTTTCAATGCGAACAGACCAACAGAGTTGCGCGCCAATTTTGGTAAGGAATCGAGGCACGTTGCATTACGAAACGAAATTCACCAAATTAGCCGGATGATAATTAACCGAGAATAATTTAGGGTTACGATTCTGACGAAAATATACGAGTATCGTTACACCAAGAAAATTTTAACGTCATAACGAGCAATTTCTCAATCGTCACGTAACGTATTCACATTTCCTTCTTTTTAATTAAAGTTCTCTCGGTGTCTATGTAACGAGTTAATCAAAGATAGCATTTACGTTTAAAGCAAACGAAAAATATCCAGTTACGTAAAAGTAAACTTGCGTTACCTTGTTTGCATTTTTTTCTACACGTGAAAATTGATTCCACGAACTCACTGAAAGTAAAGTTTAAAAATAGTCCGGTCCAAAATTTATTTAAAATATCCATAAAAGGTAAATTTAAAAATTTAATACAGAACAAAATGTAGAGCAAACAATTATTCTATTTTCGTCAAAAGAAGACAGCGTGAAAAACGATTTTCTTAATATCGAGTTTCCTAACGATTTAATTGCATTTAAAATAATAATCATCTACGTATAATGAATTATATGAATCATTTAGAAACTATATGCGAATATGTAAAAATGTATATAATTTAACAAATTTCGAATCTAACGGTGAACAGTAGTTATTTTAAACAACCTGTTCGTTCACATGCCGCTGCAGCTTGCCGCAAAACTATTTCCGTTGAGGACACCTATTGCCACAATTAATTTCAGTTTTTCACGCAGCTGAAGCGCGAGTGCACCATAGTTAAAGGTGCAACGAGACCCGCCAGTTGGACGTGTTGCAGTTGATGAAGCTCCTCACCTGCCCAACGCTGCTCCCTTGCCTAGACACCCTTCGTTTTTTAACCTGTTTAATTATTGTTTATACGTTTGAAAATTATCGTCCAACGGACAGGATGAAGTATTACACGTCTGAGGAAGAAGTGAAGAAACCATTGTTTTTTGACCTATGTCCTAAAACAACTTGAAATTTCAATCAGAAAACTTGCCAATCAAATAAAAAAGAATTAAAAGTCCTTATACATTTATTTATAATTCTGCATAAAATTTAGGTTTTTAGTTAGATATAATTCAGAATGATATTATAATAAATCTTACTATATCATGTAAGATTTTTTCCCTAAAAATGGAATATATAATAATCTTTTATTCCTAATAAACATCGCACTTCTCTTAATAATATTTTTAACATTATCTAAATTATAACTTAATCTTTATCTCCTATACAATGAAATTTTTAATCCATCCATATTTATGCTTTTAATAATACATTCTACAAACTTTCACATTTATGTATATAAATTGAACTATCGCCCGTGCAACAATTTATTCTTGCCTTTTAATACATTGCTCATTTGTATGTATATACATGCAAGCTTCAATTTTTATCAGATTATATTTTCTTCTAACAAGCACTCTACCAGAAAATTTCCTGCGTAATTAGGTGACCTTAATTCTAATTAACCAAAGGTGTCGATGTATATTTTAACGCGGCTTGACACACGAATTAACAGAGCACGACCGGTTAAGCCTTTAATCAAAACCAAGTTCTTCGGTTTCTCTCGAATCTCACGTGGTTCTTTCCCGATATCCCGAAACAGGTATTCGTAATCGAAACGCGTATTATTCATGCATGTTACGTAAATACATGAATAAAAAGCGTCAAAATCACTCGAATCCTTCGATTCATCATGGCTGACCACATGTGAGAAAGGCGTAGGCTATCCTCGAGGTGTTTCTTAAGCGGCGATGTTCGTCCATACCCACGCAGCCCACGTTGGAACATTTTAGATTACTGCCCTCAGATAACGCCGTGCATGTGCTCAGGGCCGTATGTTACGAGCGAGAAATTGGCAACGATCTGGACTTCCTTTCATTTCATCCCCGACAATCCGTATCGATGGACACGCGTGTAAACGGGTGTCGGAAATTTTGCAATGATGATTTTTTCTTTTCTTCTCTTTTTTTTTAGCAAGGCGGACAGATTACATTATAGAATTGATAACCGGATACAAACTAAGGTATTGCTATTTTCGGGGAGGTTGGTGGGAAGATGATATCGGTCGAGCATATCGGGACACAACTCTTTCGATGGATTTCGCGGCGATAATTTATACGAGGACAAATCGATCGATGCCTTTTTATGTCGCTTCGTGGGTTGAACGGTTTGTTAAATTGGTTAGTCGTGGTAATAGGATTTCTGTTATCGTGATCGTAGATCGATCTGCTTTTTTAATAACATGAAGTTCGAAAGGAAGAAAGATATTCGTTTGATACAATATTCTGTAAGTGAAAATTGAAGGAAAGAATATATATATATATATATATATTTGTTGATTTTTTTTAATTAATTATCATATATTGAACACGATGTTAAAAAATAAGTGTAGTAAAAATATGATAGATTTTAATAATTCGTTTAATTGTAGATTTATAAAGAAACGATAAACTCGATATTATTAATATTTTCTCTTTTCATAAAACGAATGTAAATTATTAGGTATATATATATATGTATATATGTATATATATATGTATATATATTTGTAATTATACTTTCTTTTTAAATTATATTTTTATCTTGATCAATCATTAAATGCCATTAAGATAAAATTTACATAATTTTCGCGATCAAATAATTGATAAAAGAAACGACAAAAATAAAACGAATACGCAAATTATTTCCACTGTACATTTCACGATAAAAGCTTGGTAATACCGATAGAATACAGGATGGGTCTATGGTAGCAACTGCATAGAATGCTTTTTGTCGAGCTCAAGGCCTCGACGAGATGTGAATGAATCTAGAACCTGTTCCCCTCTGCTTCTTCTTAGGTGTATTCCACCTTCTTTTAGAAGTCAGGAACGGGCAATAGGCTCGTTGAAAGCTGCCTTAGAACCGGGTTGAATCGAGTTTGTTACACGGCCTGAAATATAATCCACTTCACGTGCATTGTCCACCGAGTAATCCTTTTTCTTCCGTTTAACCTTCTTTTCGATGGTACTCTTAAAATATTGACCGAAGTGATGATTCGCGTGACCTAACAATTTTTCAAGTGGACATTCTCGAGGACACTTGAGTTAAGAATGAGCATAAAATTTTGCAAACTGTTGCGAAATAACTAGTCACTTTTCACGCGAAGAAACTTTTTAAGCGAAGCAAAAGTTGTAAAATCCAAAAATTTAAAAGAGAGAAAATAGATGAAAATTTGAAGATATACATTTATATTTGATAGTATGAAAAAACAATTGTATTTTCTCAAAGGAAAAGAATAATTTTTGTTTATATTATTTTATTATTTACTTATTATATATTTATAATATTAATTTTTTTTAATAATGCATTATATTTTTTTTTAATTAGTATTTCCTTTGAAAGATATATGATATATAAAAAATATATCTCCTCATTTTTAAATTTAATAATTATATTCATAATATAAGGAAGCTATGATTAATATTTTTCCAGAATTATTAATAGAGCAGGATGTGTGATAATTTATTCATTTCCTATTAAGTATAATTTATCTATTTTTCCTGTTCGATTAATTTTTGTTCCTCTTTTTTATGCTTAACGAGGTCTTGTTTGTTCACTTTACTGTATTCTTTTCTTTTTAATTCACGAAAATAATAAAAAAAGAAAGTTGATGATTTGGATGAATGATCAAATTTGAATTTTCAATTTATTAAAAAAAAAATCTATCCGAAGGCGGAGAGAAAATGTCAGGAATTGCAAAAGTCGAAAGGATATGACTAGGAATAGAGAAAAAAAAGAAAAAAGAACATTTGACAGAGGGTGCGGATGATTTATACCACCCTGATTCCCATCAAACGAAACACTATTCGCGAATACCTACTATACTACCTACAAGGCCCTCGATATTCTTCGTTGCCACTACCCCCCACCCCAGAGCCCACGTGCATCGGCGCGTAGGCAACCCCGGCGTTGCTCGTGATGTCGCTTCGCTCGCCAGTTTCGACAGAGTCGTGCCGGTGATCGTTTGTTTGAGCTGATCGTTTGTCGATCGATACTATATTAATGATAGATTGCGTGAATCGGCGTCGAAATCATAATAAATCTTCGATCGAATACGTTCTCGAGAGTTTATAATATTTTGTGTGAAGTTAATAAAATTTTTCGTTCAGTGGGCTTCGCGCCACTGCGTGACTCTTGGTCTTCTTTCTTCTTATTATGCATTTGAGAAACATCTTCTAGCCAAAGGTGAGTTTTCTTCTTATTACAATTTTTTATCAATATTCTTTGAAAATAATTTATTCGGAAAGTAAAATTGTGAAAATGTTTCGTGAAGTTTTGATATTTGTCGATGTCTTATTCGTTTTTTTTGTATTCGTTGTTAAACAAAATAGATATATCGATATGGTATAAGATATAATTAGAGAAATTTAGTAATGGTATGAGGAGGTTAATTTTTCTTCGCTTGTCTGAATTTGTGAGTCAGATATTCGGAATGTTACTTTATTACATGTTTTGGACGTTTTTACATGCTATTTGGCTCGAGTTCAGAAATTTTATATCGATGTTTACAAAAAAGTGTAGCATTCGGCATTAATTAAAGTTAAAAGGATGTGATTTTGTCATTTTCGTTTTGTTTGAATTTTCGAGGTTAGGTTAAGAAAGTTTTAGTTTCTTGGTTAATGGTATCATAACTCTTTCTCTTTTAAGAGAGAGCTTTCTCAAAGAGACATTCTAAATACGGATCCTTTTTAGAGATTTATTATAGTAGATTTTCGTGGAATAATATTGTTACTTTTGTTTTCTATCCCATTGCTTAGAGAAGCTTCGCTTAGCAACCGCGGTTTCTTTGTCAACTCGTGGCCAATTAGTAAAACATTTGCGAAACACGATTCAATTCATTTCTATGATTCTGACGTTTTTCGTCTTTTGATACAATTATCGATTCATGGAAATGTTTTATGAAATTTCTGTTTACACAAATGGTTATCGAAGAATTAGGATCTTGTTTTGTGATTTGTTTACATGAAATGAAACGTTCCTTGACAGCTGACCTTGTAATCGTCAAAATAAAATTTGGAATTCATTGGATGGATTTACATGTAAATTCTTATTTCGCTATAATTTAATATCTTAATAATTTAAAATTTCAGCGGAATACTGGACAATTTAAAAATGAATCTCCATGTGTACTTTCTCAAAACGATAATTTTGATAAATATATTAAATCAGAAAATTATTATTAAAATAAGAAAAATAAAAAATGCATATTTAAACAGTTTTCTTAAATATTTTATACGTAATAATAAGTAATAAATATTTATATTTAAATATCATATTTTATTTAACGTTTATAAAATATATAGTAATTTTCAATGATGAACAATATTTTTTTTTTATTAATATCACATTTATCAAAATGACGGATTGAAAATTTTTTCACATTAAATATTTACAATTGTTATTTGTTGATAAATTTTTATTCGTAGATGTAAAAGATGCTAAGAATTATTAAGTATTTACTTATTAGTAAATTTGTAATTAAAATAATTAGTATTATGTGTTAAATATTCTGAGCAAATACAGAAACAATTCTTAATTATTTGCTCGGAAAGTACAAATGCACTTCCGTATCTAGTTAGTAGACGTTTTAAGGATCGTTGATTTGGTAAATACGTCTGATATGCGGTATAAATTATGCAAATTCATACGTTTTGCATTTGCACACATTTAATATGCCCGCGTCATTCGTAATCATCGTAATACCGGCTATAAATCGTAGATGAATTTTCTTTCGTGGAATGAATACAAGGAATCGTCGAAAACAAATTTGAATTATAGCTGTTCATCCTGTAGAAATTACTCTTATAAATTATTTCAGTGATAATATTTCTAACCAGCATTTAATCATTTGAAATTTTTTCTACTGAGATTTTTGAAATATTTCAATGCTTTTATTTTAACAGAAAATATATTTGAAGATTTAAAAGCACTAATTTCGAAATAATGAATCAATAAATTTTTAAAAAATATTTAAAATAATATCAGAGAACTGTTGTGGTTACATTATATTCAAAACATAGTACTACCTAAGTAGAATCAGACAAAAATTCATTTAGTTGGATTAAAAATATCTTCCTTTTATAATTATTACGCAATTATAACAAATATATAAGGAAAAGCATTTTTTTCTAACAACTATATATAAAAAATTTTACAAGATATGTATTTTTGCTAATTGTTTATTACATATATTTTTCAAATAATAGTTCATTCTTCTAAGAAATTCTAATCGAATATTTAACATATTCAATTAATTCTAGATAATATGTTCATCATTTAATGCATTAAAAAAATTTTAATTATATATATAAATCAAAAGCTTTTTTTTATTTTTTATATGGAATATCATTGCTTAGATCGATTCTATTTAAAGACAGATATAAGATTGCTTATGCGGTCAACAATAAGAGGCAATTTATATCTACAAAAATGGCGTATAATGGACGGTCTTAACCAAAGGGACAGAGGGATTGTTTCTTATGTTCGAAATGCAAAAGGACAAGGTGTTAACGATAATTGCATTGTGCGACTGCTGATCTTATTGTTAGAGCGCTAACTCTGATATCACGTGATATGTTCCCCTTGTATAGGCGTTAATGATGGTCGACCCCTTTCTTCATCCATTCTCAAGTTAGATCAACCACAAGCGACTAGCGATTGCAATCCTCGTTTCCATATTTGATTCTTATTGTCCTGCGCTTTTAGCTACTTATCATATTTATCCTCTTCAGTATGCTCTGCATTAATGAGGTTTGGATATCTTTCAAGATATCTATTGTTCAAACTCATTAATGCAGAATTTATCTTCTGTTAAAAATAAAAGGTTTCTTCGACCCCTTCGACAAACGTAGAGACATCTCCAAAAATATATAATCATCTACGCTACCTCGTTCATGCATTCTATCGCAAATACGATTAGAACCCTTCGTAACGAAAAAAAAGGGGGGGGAGGATCGTTGGTATTGATGCAGGTTATCGTATACCCCGTGAAAAGGGGTAGGTTTCGCCAGGGAACCTGAACCTCACCTGGGTAGATTTGTCGATCGATGACGTCACCCTCGACGAAACAGCCACTCCTGTATGTATCTACCTGCGCTCGTGTACGCGTGTTCGATGCTCGTGAATAAAAAAGGACAAAACGGTGGACGGGAAAGAAGAGGCACGGCGAAGGCAACCAATCGGGCAACGAACTCTCCGCTAGCTGATACACAGCTCTTTCTCTTCGTCCTATCTCGCTCTCGCGCACCTCCATACGCCTCGTCTCATCTCCCTCTTTGTCCTCCCCCTTCATCGTGACTCCTCGATTCCGCGACTCGCCCCGTCTCACTCGCACCCATCTACCTCCGCCTCGCCTTGCCTCCCTTCCTCGACCTTCTTCTTCGTCCCGGAGGATCTAATCTCGCGATCTCCATCTGACCTTCCTCTCCTCTCGCGCAACCGTGAACGTGTGTCATCCGGGCCCTAGATAACAGGGAGCAAATGAGAAGTTATCGCAGGTGCTCGTGGCGTTAATAAAAATAAAAATAAAAAAAAAAGGATCGGCTGCATAGGCGCGTCGGCTTTGGTCACGTTTGAATGGGGATGGATTTAGCGGCGATAAAAAGGGACATTTTAATTGCTCATGCAAACGTTTATTGGCAAAGTTTTATGGGGATGTTATACGGACGATGGCGGAAATAGGTACCGTACACTCGGGCTTCATCGAAAGGTGCTATTGATTTTGACGCTAATTCGTTGAACAAATTAATTATTCTGCTGCTTTATTTTTTTTAGAATGATTTATCCGTTAAATTATACCTATTGTAGAAGACAGAAAGAAATTTTATTAGGAAATTAAACAGCGTTGAATGCTAATACATGTATCATTCGAAGTATTAATTCAAACATTTAAACATTAATGGATTAATAAAATATTTTTTTAATTGAACTTATACAAGATGATGCTAAAATTTTTCTAGATCGTTATTTTTAATCAGAAAATATAAGGTTGCCGCTACTTCCAATTAGAATATTTCCTTCGTACAAATTTGATAACCTAATTTCAATAATTACGTAATTAATATTTCCATTCGCATATCTCACGAAAATATTAAACTTATAATACAATAAGTTACGCTCATCAACATGGAAGTTGCGTTTTAGGTTCGCAGAAGAAATTACGAGTAAGGTTAGCGGTTAGACGATAACGGATGAAATTAAGCGGAATAAAGAAACGTGTAATTATGCGGCGTATTATGAAAAGCATGCGTTTCGAAAATATTTTCAAAAGACCGAAGCCTCTTTCAAACTTTCGTCAGATGCTGTAATACATGCTCTTTATCCGTTGAATCTCGGTCGTGCGATCCTCGCATAATTAACGAGTAAACTAATTATACAGTTCTACGAACGTTTTAATGCGGTGTAACATTCTAATTATACACTTTTCGCGAGTAAACATTTGTGATTTCATTTCTTTGTTCCTTCAGTATTATCGTCGTTGCCTTTTTCTTTTTTTTTCTTCTTTTAGCACGATTCCCGTTATTAGTTTCAAACTAACTTCTTTTACGTAAACGCGAAGAAGAAAACGAAAACATTTCTGTTTGATATTAATCATCCGTGGAACAGTTAAGACTTTATCCAGTGTTTCATAGAATAAAAATATATTCAATATATATTTTGAATATCATATTTTTATCAGATTTTCCATTACACTTCATCACGTTTAATCGATAAATTTCTATTTTATATATTTCATTAAATACTCTACATCGAGCGATATTAATAACGATAATAGCTGATCAAATTATTAATCTAAACATTATGATTCACTTGATAAAATTAGTAGAGCATCTCTTATGATTAATCATGAATTCCAAGATAAGACCAGAATTATGATATCCATTCGGAATAATGGGTCGGTCCCATTAAAAAAAGTAAGATCGTGCCATTTTAGCTGGAAGCAACATAGCTGAACGGTATACATTAATCGTTTCTCCTCGCGAGCATATTTAATGCGTCTCCTTAATTGCATATGCACAAAGAGATCATTAGCGCGAAACGATATAATTATGATACGTCCCTAGGGTAAATTTTATTCGTGTAAGGGTAGATATTCGTGTGCACAGAGCACGTGTCATGAGCTTGTGAGTTGCTCTTTTGCAAATAAAATTATCCATTCGCTCGTTGTAACTTTTCTTTCTCGCTTGTCGCGGCTTGAATAAACCGTTTCGAGATGTTGCACGAGTCAAAGAGTAGTAAGTAATCCTAAGAATATTGAAGAAGGGACGTCCATGAATGTGCGACTTGAAAAATATTAAATTTGAACTTATTAAAAATAAAACTATTAAGTGTTAAAAGTTATTCGATGAATCACATTATTATTTTATACATCTTTAATTTCTACACTTAATACGAAGAACATTTAACTTTAGATATAACTGTAGATTATAGATTAATATTTCATATAATTCGACTTCTAGTGTTAATATATTAGAACATTGTTACATAATTGAATTTGTCATATAATGACGATGTTATAATAATACGTTACAGCTATATGTATTCGTTAACACTTGTTGCATTGTTATATGTATAATAGCTTAGTTAATTGTCTAAATATGTTATTCCTTAAGTGAAATTTAAATTGCATTTGAGATACCATTTGAGAACTTCGTAAAAAACAGAGCACAATGGTACAATGGAAGCTAGGTTAATGATTTCAACTAGGATGTAATTAGTGCGTGGCTCTATTATAACGATTCACCTGTAATGTGTAAAATTCTACTATTTATTAAAAATTTGAATCGTGATCAATGAATGGAATTAAATGATAGAGAAAAGATATTGTTTTGGATAAAAGATGTTTCCAATGTATGTATACATCCTACGTATCTGTGTACATATATAGTTGTGTATGTGTTTTCTTGCATAATATACATTAATGGTATATAATAAAACAAGAAAGTACTAAAACAATATGATTTCTGTTTTATATGTTACAGATCGCCGTTATTTCTAATATTTTAGGAATGAATAACGATAAGGTATATATACATTAACTTAACATTATACATATATACATATATACATTACTTATTTATCTTTTTTTTTTTTTTTATTATATATGATTCGATAACAATGTTCATTATTTTTTCGAATAAAAGACACAATTATTTTAATCTTTCGTAATAATCCTTGAGTTTTTTAGGGATATATGAAATTTTATATGTAAATATCTTATTTTTTATTGTTTATAATCTATAAATCTGCATCTTTCTTTTGATGAAATAAACGAATTTAATGATATCAATGATACTCTTTTATTAAAAGAATAAATTCAGATTCAATTTATAAGTTAAAAATTGAACGTTTTATAACAAAATTTTATAATATATTCTCGTTCGAAAATCACATGGGGTACGCCCAATCGAATAATAATGGAAGCTGTCTTTTCCGATCGATATATAATTGCAAAAGAAACCTGGAAACTCTTCAAAAAGGTCTTCCATCAAGGACCACTTGACCTCGTATATACCTGCCCTTTCGGTCATGGGAACCTGCCCTTCTGAAGTTGATGGTTAGGGTTTCCAATTCACCATGGAACAGATGTCGATTGTCCTTCCTCTTTGTCGTTCCTGCACGTTGTGCACACTTCGCTTACGTTTTCTACGATTCTCCCACGCTGAACGTATTGTACCTCTTGTTTTCCATTCTTTTTTTCCTTCTTTTTGTTTTTTTTTTCTTCTTATTTTCTTTTTCCACCAACGTTTGCCTCGAATCGATTCATCGTATTTTCGAACACGCGCTAAGTTTGGATTTTATCAAACAAGATTGTGTTTGATGCGGTGATCGACGATTGTTGTCTGGCAATCGCATAAATTACGCAAGGATAATGCGATGATAATGCCGTGTATAAATACTTTCATGACGTGAAAATATTTCTTTTAGCGAAATTGTTTTATTTTACAGAGAATTCTATTAATATAATTTATTATTTTATCTTTGGATAATTTATTGTTTAGAAATAAAGTTTTTTTTTTCAATCGAGCTGCGTTCATTTTGATAAATGTTATTTTTTTTAACTCAACAAATTATCAAAAATTTTAATTTCTTATGAAAATTAGGAGAATGACGCTTATTCTTACGTAATTATGAGAAGGAAGAAAGTTTATTTGTTGTTACAAATGGAAGTCGATTTAAGAAGATGTTAGGAAACATCATTTGCATATCGTTATTCCTTGTATACGTGCTTTTTTTTCACTTAATACTTCCTTCCAGTCGATAAATTATTCAGAAATTCAATCATCGATTAATTCTAGACGCATCTAATTCGCATGTTCGATCACTTCCGGTTTCATGGAGATCAGAGACACGCGATACAACAATAACTGCAATGATATCGCGTGGATCGCTTTCTGCGTAATATTTTACATACATAGGTATAAGTTCACACCGGCCGCGTTAATTCTCGCAGGCTAAGCACGTCTCATCTACAATTTCCGCGATTCTCCCACGTTCGAACGAACATTGTTCGTTCTTGAAGTTCTCGGGACAAGGCGAACAACCATATCCTGGTCCGTGAGTTTGCATAAATCTACCAGCGTTTCGTATATCCTGAAGAGATGTACAAGGAGAGATTTTAAGAAGTCTAATATTAATTTTTTAATAAACTTTAAGAGTTTTTACATGGAATTTAGAATTAATATAACAATGTTTCATCGATTCTAAAAATTCCATAAATCCATGCATCCAAAATTGAATATATCAGATCTATTGTTGTACAAAGTATTATTTAAAAAAAAAATCACTATTACTACACTTTGAAATCTTTTCAATAAACAAAATTCAAAAATTCTCAAAATTAAAACATTTTATTTTCAACGTCTCTTTCTGGATATCGTTTATATGCACGTAATATAAAACTGATTATTCGATATAAAGATGTTCGTATCGTTATCAGGAATTTCGAATGAAGGAGAATTTTCGTCGTTGTAAATACGCCTTTATTCTCTATTCTTGATTTGCTTGAACAGTCAGTGATAGTGATTTCTCCATCTCTTTCTAACGCCTCTTCTTCTCTCGAAATTTATACTCAATTTGCATGTATTATTCCATAAAAATGGAGTATCCAATGGAGTATCGTACACCAAGTCACCGATCTTTGTCCAATGATAAAAGTATGATTTCATGTTGGATATTTTTATCGAGCAAAGTTGTGTAGAAAATCGAGTACTCGAGTTAAGTGTTATGCGCTCGAGATGCAGAAATGATATAAATGATATTGTGCAAGATAAACATGGAAATTCATTAATTTACAAGTTTCGATTTTTGTAAGACGAGATATGATATGGAAATAAAATTATACACAGAAATCTTTTACAGAAGAGTTTATCTTTAGGAGAGTTTCTTTAAACATTCATAGAATGTTGGTTTACTATTATTATTTAGAATATTTTGAAATTGAATCTTGTTTTCAATATTATTGCAAAATATCTTTGTTTTATTAAACTGTTCTTGGTTACCAATGGTAATTATTTGTAATTTACTTTAATGTCATTTATCACTATAGAAAGAATTAGTATTAGTCTCTAATAGCAATTGCTCCTTTATCAAAGTTTCATATATTTACATAACTTTTCATTATAATCCTGCAACAATAAGTGGATAACTCTTAAAACGAAATTATTTATTTAATGACTTGAAAGACAGAAAACAGAAAAACTTTTATACCTTGTCCTAATTCCATTACTCTTTCATTTTCGATCTAGTTTACCTTCTTAATTAATACCTAGCAGAATCGTCTCGTAGAAATACAACATTCTTTCTCGTATGCTGCATAAATATCACGATGATAATCCGGTTAAACAGCAGGGACAAGTTGTACCTTTTAGATCGTGGCACGATTCTCATCGAGGCGAATGATCGCATTAGATTTGGTTCATTTAAGGTGGAATGTAACTCTATTGATGAAAATTCTCACCGGTTCGGGTCCTGTCTTTCTGCCTGTTTGTTACACATTTACGTTCCTCTTCATAAAAAAAAAAGAAAAACCATGTTCCACGTTCCTGGAATACGTTCTCCAAGCGTTCATTCAACGTCTCATAGCTCGCGGAGGAATCGGTTAAGAGGTAAGAAATTGTAATTATCGCCGACTATTACTACGAACGATTGCACAAACATTCTGTTGCCACTGTGGCTCTACTAACGAGGAACGTCCACCAGACGTGTCCGATTTCTGCGAAACTTTGCCGTGCTTGTAATGTAACAGGGATATAAGAGATGTGTAATAGTTACGCTCTTCTCTAGCCGATTACTACCGCTGCCCAGAGTCGTTTTGAAGTCTTGTATTCCTGTCCTCGGTTGGAAGTTATCGAAGATAGGGGGAAGTTGAGGCTGGATATTTTTTTCAGAATATTCTTGAAAAGGAATTTGCATGCGATGATTCTCTATATGGGAGGAAAATATGAAACGGTTCGAAAAAAAGGAAAAATAAATGGAAATGTTAAATGTCGATTCGAGGCATTATTGCCTATGGCATTTTCCGCTCTTCTCATTTTATTCTCTAACTACGAATGGAAAGGTAGTAACTACGAATGGGTTCTTCGGGTTGTTAAATTTATACGTGCTTTATTACATCTCATGTCTTATGTTTTCGAAGCTCGAACTTTTACTTATGAAAAGATTACGTAAATGTCTCTATGATTTGTAATGTTTGTAACACTTTTTTCAATCTATAGTTACATTAGTGGATTGTTTTATCGTAATTTTGTATTCTATAGTAAATAGTTATCATTACGATAAAAATTTGAAGATAAGTTATCTATTAAAAGTGACGTAAAATTTTTGTTTTTTAAGGATAGAATTGAATTTTGTTATTCGTTAACGAATCGATCCGCAACGATTCGTCTTACGATTCTATTGATACGTTCTTCGAACGTAAAATCCACTTCTTATACGATAATCCATATTTATCAAGCGTTACATCCTCACGACGATTCCATTCGTTCAGAAGAACAACATTTTCACATGTCGTGACTAAATTCAAAGAGGAGGACATAATCTTTTAACAAGAAAGAGACCTGTCAGAATCTCACGATCGGCAAATCCGCTTTCTACGCGAGTCGAATCGTTGGCCGTGGGCCATGGAAATCCTTTCGAAAAGAGATACGTGAAGACGGTCAAGCCACCAAACTTACGAATCTGTGTCAGATGAAGAATGTTCTCGAGGACACTCGAGATATCCTATGGTTTTACTTTCTACGGTCGAAGGAGAAAAAAAAAAGAAGAAGAAGCGGATAAAAGATGTAAAAAAAAAGAGAAGAAACAAAAGATCGAAATATCGTGTCATCGATTTTTTTCCAAACTTTGCCTCGTGGACGATGACGAATCATCGAGTCATCGTTACAGTGATTCTTTGGGTTACATGGATGTAGTAATCGTATTTTAATATCGATGGTAATATGCAATAAAATGGAACCGGTTCTTTGAATTCGCAAAAGGAAAGATGCATTTTCTGGACTCGTCATCGTGCGTGTAAAGGTGTACGATATTTGAAACAAATATGGAAGAGAATCGGTCGATTGTTTATGTGTTTTGACGAAGCGTTGAATAAATGACTGTTTGCAATAAAATTTTGTAAGAAGAGACGAAATTCGAAATAACATTACATTTAAAAAAAATTAGATACTGATCAAAGTTCGATGGTATTTCGAAACAAATTATGCACGTTTATTAATCGCAGCGATCATTCACATTTTTATAGCTTGTGAAAGTCAATCAGATAACAAAGCTATTTTCGTTGCATGCTCGCCGAGTAATAATAATTTACATAAATCCTTTCAATTTTTCATTCAACTTTCTTTCAAGAAATTATTTCCAATATTAATAGAGAATTCATCGAAAGCTTGTGAACGAACATATTTATATTTAATTATATATTTTACATAAAAATTATTTTTTTAATTAGCACTAAACAATGATTCGCGTCAGAATAACCCACATTTTACTTACTCTCGCTAGTTTTAATAGCCAAGCTCTACCTGGA